GCCATTATTTTAAGTGCATGTGTAAATATGTTTAATTTGCTATCTCCTTTTCCAATTATGTTTATGTACAGCTACAAAGCTTCTGCTTCCTTTTTTTGAAATGCTTGCAACTGTACTACCATTTGCATTGATGCAAACAATGTTTGCAGTGCCCAGCAATGGTGGTAGCAACATGGGAGTCTTTTGTTGTTTATGAACCAGATATGAGGTGCCCCACTTACCTCTAGTTTAGCTTTGTGAACAAAACCATTTAAATATTACAATACTGAAGTTCTTTATGAAATTTTCATGTTTCTATAATAATTATCCTTATGTAAATAAAAGAATATATTATAATCTTTTAGGCCTAAAACGTATAATTTGCATGGCTAAATGGATTATGGATTAGAAATGCAATCATACTTTCAAAATACAAAACAATTTTGGTTTTTAGGTCAGTGATGGGCTCACTAAATTCTTACAGACATGACTGCAGCTTTGTTGGTAATGAAGTTTTATTTTTAGAAGACTAAAATATTTTAACTGCATGCAATATCTAAGCAAGACATTACTGTGTAGGTCTTAGAAGCAAGGACTTGGAGGAAAATGCCTGAATATAATTCCTAACTGTTAATTAACTACAACACCTTGGAAAAGGCCTTTGTCTTGTAGTTCCACATCTGTAAAATGGGGATAATAATAGATTCTGTCGCAGAGGTTTATTGTGAGGATTAGATTAGTAAAGATTTGTTACAAAGAACCGTGAAATAAAAGTGTTTACTCTTGCTAATAAAGCATTTCACAAAGGTTCAGGAGGGAATACAGTGAAAAATGTGTACCAAACAGAAAGGAACCTGTTCAGGCCCTAAGCTGTGAAGACACTGATCCATCTTTGGTCCCCTCCGGGAGTCAGGATATTATGTACAAATATTATTGGGTCTTCCTGATTCAAGCATCTTTTCTTAGTAATACCCGGAGACAGCGTTTGTTAACACTTAAAAAATACTTTAAAAAGCTGATTAAGAATGACTGAGTACTGAATAAACTGCCTTCTGCTTTGACTTCTCAATTATCCAGGGTCCTCTAGTCTTCAAAGTTGATACCTTTGGCATCTGGCCTTTTCTCTCACATGGTTGGCTGTTGACCCATTTGGTCATTTTTCTGTCCTTTCTAATTTAGTCCAAACTTGAATCATCACATTTTTTTCTTTGTCATCGACGACTTTCTCTTCTTTCTGCTGCTCACCCTAATTCCCCCTTTCTCAAACTAAAAAAAAAAAAAAATTTAAGAAATGTGTGTTCTCCCATCTCACCAGCTATTCTGCTTCTCACAGCTTAAGAGACACACCATGTGTCATTGGAGGGAATGATGTTCCTGCCCTGCTAATTCTCAGTGGCAAGAACCCTCGTTGATTTCTCACTGGTATCTCTAGTAAAGACGAGGAGGAAGGTTTTATGGTGGACATGCTAGTTTAAAGGTATTGGTCTGGTCTTCCTGCTTGGAATTACAGGTTAGCAGAAGAGATATCCATGTATCTTCAAATCTGAACTGGTGACCTAGACATAAGTCCTAGCACTTGCTAAATGCCCCAGAGCTATTATATCCCTTAAAGTGATTCTTCACTGCTTGTTCAAAAACAGACATTAAGGAGGAGAAAAAGAACCTGCTGAAAACCAAGCACGAACTAAAGACCTTTAGAAAATTACTCTAATATTGCCCACGCATGCTCAGTGGATGACTTGCTTTATTGAATCCATACTTTATCAGAATGACTTCTCAGAAGACACCCTATAGAAATAAAAATATCTGTTCAACAGAAAGCAATTCAGATAATGGGAGGAAGAAAGGTCAAAGATAGTGGTCAGTCCACGCCTGTTCCCTTCCTTTATCCCTATTCAATGAAACTCAAGCAAAATACCATGGAGAACAGGATGTTGTGGAAAGAATCTGAACTCCACCATGGGGTCAGGATGTGGGTTCAAGGTTTATTGATTGAAAAAGTCATTTCTCTTTCTGAATTTCAGCACTGATTCATACGAGGAATAATATCTCCTTACAGAACTGTTGCAAGATTAAATGAGACATTTGTATGTTGCTTTAATAATATTGGTCATTATTATTTATTTCATAAGCAATAGATAATTTTGATGTTATGGATCTGAATTGCTAAGTCCCCAAACTTTGTTTTCTATCAAACTAGATGGATTTTTTTTTTAACTTTTTCATTGTTTGCATGTCTTTTGGGCTGGAGTGTATGGAGTGGAAAGAACTCAGACACTGGAATGTGAGAAATCTGAATTCAAACTCTGGCTAAGGCACTCTGGGTTCACTTTCACTTACTAGTTAGTGCTAGTCAGGTCTCTGATCCTTGGTTTTCCTTTCTATAATATGAGGCCAGCCACACCCACTTAGCAGAGTTGTGGAGAAGGTTGGTGGAATACTTGATAGCCATAAAAAGAATGAAATCATTTCGTTGGCAGCAACATGAATGGAGATCATCATCCTAAGTAAATTAACTCAGAAAAAGAAAACCAAACACCACATAGTCTCCCTTATATGTGGGAGATAAATAGCCACAAAAATGGAATTAATAGACACTAAAGCCACAAAAAGGGGCAAGGTGGGGAGAGCCACGAGGATTTAGAAGTTACTTATTGGTTATAAGGTTCACTATCTGGGGAGTGGGTCACCTGAAGCCCAGTCTCCACCAGCACGTAATGTATCCAAGTGACAAGCATGCACTTGGACCCCTTGAATCTAAAAGAAATCTGAAGCTGGATAATCCAGGGCAGGCAGGTAATGAGGAAAGGTGAAGAGATCACGAGTCTGTCTCCTTTAGAAAGCATTTTCAGAAATCCTATTAGCAACTTCATACTCCATCACATGGCCATTCCTACAAGCAAGTAGAGTTGTGCTGTGAGAAAAAGAAAAGCATCAGAGAGACAGAGATATTTTTAGAATATCAAGAATTTTAGTTTTCTGGCCTTTATAAAAGCAGCTCAATAGCTAGAAAACAAATAACCTGATTAAAATTGTTAGAAAGATCTGAATAGACATTTCTCAAAAGAAGGCATACAGATGGTCAACAGGTATCTGAAAATATGCTCAATATCACTAATCATCAGGGAAACGCAAATCAAAACCACTTGAGCTATTCTTTATCTCACACCTGTTAGGATGGCTATTATCAAAAAAGCAAAAGATAACAAGTGTTGGCGAGGATGAAGAGAAAAGGAAACCCTTGCACACTGTTGGTGGGACTATAAATTAGTGCAAGCATTATGAAACTTGTGTGGAGGTCCCCCCCAAAATAAAAATAGAACTACCATATGATTCAGCAGTCTCACTCTTGGGTATACATATCCAAAGTAGAATGAAATTGGTATGTCAGCCCACTCAGTAGCTCAGCCTGTAACCCCAGCATTTGGGGAGGCCGAGGTGAGTGAATTGCCCGAGTCCGCGGATTAGAGACCAGCCTCAGCAACTTGGTAGACCTCGTCTCTACAATAAAATGAAAAATGGCCAGGTGCGGTGGAGCGCATCTAGAGTTCCGGCTACTCCGAAGGTTGAAGTCGAAGGATTGCCAGAGCCCAGAAGGTCAATGCTGGGGTGACTGTGAATGTGTGTGCGCTGCACTCCAGCCTGGGTGAAGAGGTGATTCCAACTCAAAAAAAAAAGATTTGCAGCAACTTGGATGGATTTGAAATTGATCATACTCAGGGATCTATCACAGAAACAAAGAACAGAGTACCATGTGTTCTCACTCATAAGCGAAACTTGAACAATTATAATACTATAAGAAAGGGATTGGCAGTAGTGGGAAACTGTCAGGGGTGGGGGGTGGGATTGGCAGTTGAGGGAAACTGCTAGGGGAGGGAGGCATATACCTCATCAACAAGGGTACCTGCATAATCAACGTTTGTATACCTAACCCTGAATTGTACCCCACATCTTTATAATAAAAAAAATTGGTAAGTCAAAGAGATATCTGTATACCCATGTTTACTGCAGTACTACTCACAATAGCCAAGATATGGAATCAACCTCAGTGTCCATTAACAGATTATTGGATAAAGAAAATGTGGTATATATACACGATGGAATACTATCAGTCATAAGAAGGAAGGACATCCTGTCATTTGCAACATCGTGTATTAACTTGGAGGACATTATGTTAAGTGAAAGAATCTAGGCACAGAAAGACAAATATTACATGATCACTTACATGTGGAATCTAAAAAAGGTGCCCACATCAATGTAGAAAGTAGAGTGGATATTGCCAGAGGCTAGGGTGGTTAGGAAGCTTGGGGGCTGGGTTGGGTAGGTGCTAATTTAAAGATATATATTGGCAGTTATATAGGAAGGATAAGTTCAAGAGAGCTGTTGTACAACATGGTGACCATATTGATGATGCATTGTATTCTTGGAAAATGCTAAGAGGGTGAATGTTAAGTTCCCCTGCCACAAAAATGGCAACTATCTGAAGTAATGCATTTGTTAATTTGCTAGATTCAGCCATTCCATTTTATATATATATATATATATTTTTTTTTCCAAAACAGGTTGTACATAGTAAATACATATACATTTAAATGTCAAAAATAAATTTGAAAAAAGTAAAAGAGGCAAGGCAGAAAAAAAGGTGTCAATGGCTTGGTGGAAACTATTAGCTCATCACAATCTTGGGCAAAGGAAGCTGCCAGTCTTATCTGGGCTGTGTTTGATGACACAAACTGCACTCTGCTTTTATCACTTATTTAAATTTCTTGGGTGCAGGAGCAGAGATAATTATAGTACCGATTTTACAGGGAGCTTGTGTCTATTTTATGAGCTGGTGAATGTAAAGTGCTGAACACAATGCCTGGCACACAGCACACTTTAATCAATATAGGCAACTATAAAAACAATGATGGCTGGCATTATTAAGTAGTATAATATTCATACTTCTCCTGGACTAAAGTGACTCTTTCTACATGATTTTGCATATTGCCTTTACTTTTTAAAAATATTTTTTGTCCTAGGAATAGTGGACAATGTCCTCTGAGAAGATTCTAGTGACATCCATTATACTGGAGGCCAATGCAGGTATGGGGGCAGGAAATTCCACAACAGCTGAGTGTGACATGCTGGCATAGAAGCTCCTTGATATGGAGTCACTTGTCTCTCCTCTAGAGCTGGATGGAGGCCTGCGCTGCCTCGAAGCGCTGAGGGATGCCATGCCAGCTCCAGGAGAGGTCTTTATTGTTGAAACTCTTGCATAATGACATCTGTATTCAGGTGAATATACAGGATGAATTTCAACTGTATGATATTGTTTATGTTCATCAGAAATGCTATTTGTCTTTACAACGTCTGGTTTCAATAAACTGGCTATGTAATGGATATTAAATAAACATGGAATTTTACACATTCATAATATTTGGTTTCTTGTTGTGATTTTGATGAACTACACTTTCAAGCATTGTCAGTTCATCCTTATTTACAAAGAAACGTTTACTTGTAGCAGAGTGATGTAGTGACTTGCTTTACTTTAAGATAAGTCAACTTTTCTATTCAATGTTTAATGTGAAACTGACTTAAAAATGTTCTTTTAGACCCCATTTACATTTCTCTTTGTATAACATGCATTATACTATTTTAACTTAATACTGTGAGCTATATAAAGCAAAGACATTCTAATTCTGTTTTTAATGTATTTTTTGCAAGATAAATAATTTATAGTGCACTAATAAAACTAAGAGGCTCATATTAAAAGACTTGTATGACCTACTGAAGTTGATCTATGGAAATTGACTCTCTTAAGAGTAATTTTGTAAAATTATTTTGTATAAATTTGACTTTCTTGTATGAATTCTTGACAACACATATAAAACAAAAATAAGTCAAAATGCCTTTTTCATCATTCTACACACTGAAGAGAGGTAATTGAACACTTTCTAACTTTGTGATTTTTGTGTTTTTAGAGAAAGAAATCAGATGAATAGTAAGCATTTTATTTGCACGTATCAGCTTCTGGCTACCCACTTAAAATAAAAATCCTTTTCAAAGTACACCTTTACACATCTTTAAAGTTTTCTCACATCTTTAAAGTGATATCATTTTATTTGTGGATTTATTAGTGAAGTGTTTTCATTTTGTCACTCAGGGAAACAAATGTCATTGTTTTCTTTTCTTTTGGAGCTTTGATTTATTTATTTGTTTTTGTTTTTTTCTTAGAGCTTTAGAGTATACAAATAGTTACTGGCTGCATGGATGCATTGTATAGTGGTAAAAAAAAGTCTGGGCTTTAAGTGTACCCACCCCCAACCCCACCTGTGCACATTGTACCCGATAGGTGATTTTTTCATCCCTTCACCCCTTTCACCTTCCCCCTTCAGAGTTTTTCTTTCTTTCGTTTCTTTAAGGCTGAAAATAAGCAACTCTGAGCCCATGTTCTTTATCCTATAACTACTCTTCATTGGAGATAGCCTGTAAGCTCATATATAGCTCATGGGTTGAGAAAAGCTATGGGAGGGCAAATGAAGATGCCAAGCACTAAATTTCCTATCAATTTCAAAGGGCTTCTTTAACGTGGACACTCATGGCCATAACCAATTAATGTCCCCATAAGGGTTCAAGTTTGACACTGTCTTTAAAGGGAGGCACCAGAAAGGTGTTGAGAACAGGAAAGTCAACCAGTTCATTCAGAGTGGGTTTCAAATAACAGAGTATCTTCATACCTACTATCTGGCTTTCAGTTTTAAAGTTGTGATGGCAGTGAAAAGAAGAGTAAGAGAGGGGAGGAGAGAATTGAGGAACCTAAAAAGCAGAGAATAGAGGAAGTCCACAGGCATTTGAGTAATAAAATGCTGTTTCCTGTGGCTTCCCTTCAGAGCATCCTAAGACTTGCTTGCAAGGGCCAGCAAGATCATTTAAAAGGGTCAGAAATTTGGATTTAAAAAACAAACAAACCTTTATTTCTTTATTTTTTCTCCTTGACTGCTAGACTACCAGGGAAAAGTACTCTTCTATACCATTCTTAGATTGGGTTACTTTGGTGGGTGAATAACCCATTCCTAGGATTCTTTTCTTTTGACTAGTTTTGTTTTTCAGGCAGTGACCTTTCCCTGACCTCGGCCTCAAACTCTGGGTCACCTTGCTATAGCCCTGGTGGAGCACTGAATAAAGGGTTTCCCAGATTGTTGGCACTGGATAAGTGGTACTGAACACAATCATGCTCTTTCATAAGCTGGAGGGAAGTTTCCTTTCCTAGGGTTCAGTGAGCTGGCTGACTTGTGTCCCCTTTTCTGTTTGTTGCCCAGTAATTTCCCCTCTGGCCATATCTGCAAACTGGTTGCCTTGCAGGAAGGTGACATGCATCACTGATGAAAAAAAAAATACTATATTGGCATCAGCACAACTTTCGATGGTACTTCAAAACAGATTCATTTTATAGTGAAATAGGTCAATTATTCACCCCACACAATTAAAATTTAAATGTTTAATTGATTAAAACTTAATCTCACTGATTTTAAGATCTCTGTACTGTTTTTATTTATTTATTTATTTATTTATTTATTTATTTATTTATTGAGTCAGACATCTCACTCTGTCACTTAGAATGAACTGCAGTGGCACAATCATGGCTTACTGCAACCTCAACCTCCTGTGCTCAGGCAATCCTTCCCCCTTAGCATCCTGAGTAGCTGGGACTACAGACAGGCACTTCCACACTAAATTTTTTTTTTATTTTTGCAGAGACAAAGTCTTGCTGTGTTGTCTAGGTTGATCTTGAACTCCTGGGCTCAAACAATCCTCCCACCTCAATCTCTCACATTGCTGGGATTACAGGTGTGAGCCACTGCACCCAGCCTCTACACTGTTTTTAAATTACTCTATCCTTCTGAGTAAAATCATTATGTGAACACCTAGTTATGCTAGTTTTCAATACACCTAGAACTTGCTCTAGGAAAGAACTCCTTCTACCTTGACATGTAAACAGCTTGTATCTCCCAAGTTTTCAGATACTGGAAAAAAAATGTTGATCATACCTCATTCAAAGACCCTCAATATCCTCAATAATTTGGCTTCTGTGTTGCCACACAGCCATGGTCCTACTAGCAGGATGGTCACTTCTGATGTTCTAGGCTGTTCTGTTTCTTTCTTTCTTTTTTTTTAGTGAGAAAGCAAGATTTATTGAGAGGACAGAAAAGTGACCATAGTGGGAGGGGACCTGAAAGGGTTGCCCCTGCTTCTTTCTTTCAAGAAAGAAATTATCTAATGGGTCCTAATGCTGAGATCCTAGGGATACAGTGTTTTAGTTCATTCAGGCTACTATAACAAGACACCTTAGACTGGGAAATTTATGAGCAGCAGAAATTTATTTCTCACAGTTCTGGAGGTTGGGAAGTCCAAGACCCAGGCATAAGCAGACTTGTGTCTGGTGAGGGCTTGCTTTCTGCTTCATAGTTACTGCCTTCACAGCTGCATGCCCGCATGGTGAAAGGGGTAAACAAGTTTCTTTGGATCCCCCTTTATAAGGGCAGTAATCTCATTTATGAAGGCTCTGCCTTATGACCTAATTACCTTTTAAAGTTTCTACCTCTCAATACTATTGCACTGGAGATTAGGTTTCAATATAAGAATTTTGGAGGAACACAGACATTCAGATCAGAGCATACAATGAAAGGCAAACTCGGACATATCACAATGTAATGCAAGACCAGTGTACCGGCCTGTCACTTTTGAATAAATCAAGGTGGCAATATTGATGATTCCCAAGGCCACCACTCTATGCTCTGTGTTTGTATTCTAAGGATATCAGTACTAAAAATAACAAAAAAGAAGAGAAAATAAAAGGAAGGATCTCAGTAACTAATAGGAAGCATTAAGCGAATCCCTTATCTTGCCGTCCAACTTTGTCAGTTTTTGAAAAAACAGTGCTTCAGATTATTTTTCAAATGAATAGACTCATGTCTTATGTTGGGGCACTTAATTAGGTCCAAGAGGGGAAAAAAAAGAGGTGAAAGTTTTTAATACCATTTTGCTACGTGAAATACTTATGACTATTTCCACCATTTTAAGTAATTCTCTATCATATATCCTTGTGATTCTAAGAGGCCTGGCTGTGTTTCTGCAGAATGCAACCATCCGGCAGTGTTAGCTCTGCATAGCTGCTGTGTTCCCTGCGTGGTCTAAAGCAATCAAACGAGTCTGCAAATGTTCTTCAAAGAATACATCTAGAATGTTACTTCGTTAAACATCTCCTTGGCATTCATTCTATTTTCCACTTTGAATTGCTGCATTTAGTTTTGTAATGACCTTCTATAGCAAGGAGATTTTATTAACTCTTTGATCTTTTAGCTTTGGGATGAAAACAAAGAAAATCTAAATGAGCACTTTGTGCACTGTCTTATAGAGGAGGCCAGAAGAAAAAAGGAAATATATTTTCATCAAAAAGATTGGTTTGTGTGGAGATTTTCAGCCCTTCCCATTCTTTTCTCCCTTTGAGCAAAATGCTTATCAATGTTGTACATGTGTTTGTTTTCATGTCTTCTCTATAACGAAGTCTTTGTTTCTCTTCTCTCTGCCTCTGGTAGCTGAGATTAGGGTCAGATGTCTCGTTGTGGATTTTCTTTTCAAGGCCATTCGCCATCCTTGATTTCCTCTAACCCTGAGTACAATTCTTAGGAAATCTGTCATCATATTTATGGTATGCTGGAATCCCTGCTCTGTTTCCAAGTCTATGTGAGGGATGCAGGGGAGAGGATCCTCAAGCAGGTAATCGCTTAAGTGTATGCTGAGAAAAAGAATGAAAACCCTTTGCATCCAAATCCTAACTCTAAACTTCATTGTAACCCAGTCTATATATTCTGGAGTGGAACCTTATCATTCAATCATCTCGCTTCTCAAGTCCTGAACTCACAGCATAATTAATGTATGGATGAAACACTACCTTTCAAATTGACTATATATTTTTTTTTTTTGGTCACCTTTATGTTTGCTTCCTATTACATACTCAACTGACTCTATCTTTTTTTGGTCTTTATCACAACTTGGGAACAAAACTTAAGGCAAATGATTATATGATATTTTATGATTAAAAATTATATAGAAAAGACGAAAATAGTTACTAATCAGAACAAAGCTTTTCTTTCCCCCAATCTCATATTCAGCTATTTATTATATCAAACAGACTTTCTTTGGCAACTTGAAATTTGAAACTTTTATTTATTGTTAAATTTAAAGCAATCTGAACTAAGAGCCTGGGGACTTTGGATTCTCTTCATCTGGACTTAAGAACAGCAGGTGAACTGGTTGTGTATTGACGATGTCATCTGGTCAGATTGCAGCTCCTTGTGTTTGGATATGAAAAGCTACTATTCATCTCAAAGTGGCTTCATTTCATTTTGGCAAAGTTTTTCTTGACTCATTTAACACTCTTCGTGGTGGTATTATGTGCTGAAACTATATAATTCCACCAGCCTCATTTTAGAGATTAAAATTTTAAAAGGGTGATAGTTTACTTGAGCAAGTGAGGCAGCCTGAACTTTAGAACCCGCATGCCTTTTAATTTCCAGTCAGATTTAGTTTGTTTTTCTGGGTCAGATAAAGAATAAGGAAAAATGATCAACTACTGATGTGAGAGATACTCAGCTTTTCATTTTGATGTAACTCAAGTGACATTTTCAACTGAAGGAGGAGTGGCACCAGCTTGGCAAATCCC